GAGGATGAGTTCAGTTTGGTGGTGAGCACTGGTAGTTCAAGAGCAATATTTAGTGCTGCTACTACAGAAAAATAGGGTACAAGGAAGCTGATTATTGGACTAAACAAACGGATGAACAACAAAATGCAAATTTTACTGAGCAACAACAAGAGGAGGGTAATCTATTCATAGCTTGCTCCTCAATAGATGTTGGTTCAAATGTTGTATAGATCAATGATATTGGTTGCTCCAACCATATATCTGGCAAAAGGTCTCTGTTCCAAGAACTTGATGAATCAGAGAAGACATAATTTTGTCTTGGAAATGATAAGGCAATGAAAGTCGACGGGAAAGTCAGACTCGCTCTAAATATTTTCATGGTAATGTAAAACTTCTCCATGATGTGCAGTATGTTCCTTGTTTGGCCCATAATGTTACACTCCGGAAACTAGTAGGTTTAATAGAGATTAACACGAGGGTTAGAGTCGTAAACTTACCTCCCCTGACATAAAAATATAGGGTTTCATGTTAGAACATCATGGTACGACCCCCAAGGACTAACCTTAGGAGACTGCCTCGTAGTCGCCTTGTGGGTCAGCCCACGCCGTGTATGTGAGGGGTCGTGGGTCAAGCCTGCCAAAAATAGTGCTATGAACCTCCACCCAGGGTTCACCAACATGCAACGTGGGTCCATTCACGGACAGTGTTCGTGCGGTCGTGGGTGAGGTCTCAAGCTGCCAAATGGCAGTAACACTTAGGGGAATTATGCGGTTTTCTAGTTTACATTAATATTAAGTGACGTCATTTTGTATTAATTTAGACTATATATATATAGTTTTAAGACCTCCAAATTTAGTCATCTTCCTCACAATTCCAAAAATCCAAATCAAAACCAATTTTCCCCCTAAATTTTCTCTAGAACTCCAAAGGAGAAGAAGAAGGAAGGTGAAGCTATGGTTTGAAGGAGCAAGATTTTCTACTCAATTTCATTGAAATTAAAATATAAGGTATGGTAGTCCTTCATCCATGAATAGTTTTCATCCATGGAGTCCCTTCAAAACCCCAATTTCAAAGTTAGAAATTTCCAGAACCTAGGGTTTGACTCCAAGTTATGGATTCCTTTAAAAAACAATTCTATTGATTTAATTACTTTATATTATGATTTAATTTATGATTTATTGTAGTTTTATGATGAAATCTCCATATTCCCAATTTATGACCTTGTGATGTGGGTAAATTGTAGAAAGAAGAGTATTATGAGATTATGCTTATAGTAATCACAGTAATTGAATCATGTTATTATCCATGTCTAATATAGTAATTCTAGATCTTTTGATTGAATGTGATCTATGGTCCTTGATGGGAAAATTATGAGAATTATGCATGATTATGAGGTTTATGTATATGTTTTTAGAACAATTTGAGAGTAAAGTGAATATGATTATGATCTAGTTGTTGCGTTGTTGGATGATTATACTCATGTACACACTTATGTATGATATGATTTGAAAGGTGTTCTCACAATATGATGATTCTAGGGTTGAAAGGCTATTCTCAGCTATTGAATCTATGAGCTATAGCATGAATTATGTTAGATTTAGTGTCAAGTCATTCTTCCAGGAATATGCACTTAATTCAAGACTTAATATGTAATCTATGGGAATTAATGCTTAGCACCGAGTGGATATGAATAAGATATGGAAGCCTATACGATAGTTGAGTCCGGCTTCCCAATGAAAGCTTGTACACTAGTTGAGTCCTTCTACCATAGTTGAGTCCGGGTTCCCAAAGTATGTATCTCATGAGATGGAAACGTTCTACCTTAGTTGAGCTCGGGTTTCTAGTAGCAATCTCTTTATCGCATAACTATGTGCCCACATAGGTCTTTAGCTAGTGGATCCACCTAAGCTAAGAGTATGGTTCTACCTTAGGAAAGTAGGACAACCCCTTTTCGGTGTGGGGTAGACACCGAATTCCATGGTATGTTCACATGGTCTATGTCGTATAAGGTTAATCTCTCTTTATGATAGTATGAACAAGAATATGAATTATGAACTATAGTTACTTAAGAAGCTTTACTTACTATGGGTGGGATTATGAGATCTTATTCATACATTTCACAAGTATGCTTTGAGGGTATTTATGGTATGTTCTTATGATGATATGATGACCTATGGGTGTATTATGCTTATGACTTATGGTTTTCCATTATCTTCAAAATGATGCTTTAAACTAGTAAATGTCATGCATTCAACTAAAATATCCTCTCTTTTTTTTTCATGTTTTAATGATTTTGTGGATGACTATCATACTTAGTCATTTTTTTACTAACCAATATTTTCCTACATTTTCCCCAAGTGTAGGGTTCGGTTCTCAAGGTGGTCCCCGTTGTGGCTAGAGCTTGGATTTGTTCATTTATCCTTGCTTGTGGTGACTCCTCATGTTTCAAGGATGGATATTTGATGGCTAATTGAGACAAGTGTAGACTTCCGCTTTCCTTTATGAATATTTTGGAATTGAAATGTGTTTTTACTCTTATTGTTATAATTCTTTATGTTATGATATGCTAAGTGGCTTACCTGGAGCCTTTTGAGGTTCTATGTGCCTTGTTACGTCTAGGGTGTACCCTTGAATCGTGACAAACTTGGTAATCAGAGCAGAAAGTTTAGAATGATTCTAGGATGATATCTCATAAGCCACATCTAGTAGAGTCTTATTCATGAGTGTGAAACGTGCCACACTTATGAATGAGAAGCTATAAGATGAGTTTGGACTCATTTAGGGTTTATTTTAATGGAAATACTGTCCTTGAATGCTTATTTTACCTCAATACCTGATTAAAATGCTGAAGTTTCAGGTATTTGAAGTTTTAGTGGAAGCATGGACACTTAGGCGCAAAATGGAGCAAATAGGGCTGAAAAGAACAAGAAATGGAATCCTGCGGATCGCCGAGTTTAACTTGGCGAGTCGCTGAAATTACATGAGCCGCCCTTCGTTCCTGTTCACGAAGCCTTGAAGGAAGTGGATCAAAAGGCAAGGAAAAGAGCAGTCAGCGGGTCGCCGATCAGTTTTGAAAGTATACTGTACCGCCCAATGATCCAGAATGCGAGGATTCTAAAGGCAAGACACTGAAGGCGATGAGCTGACAAAAAGGCGGATCGCCGAGTTTATCGGCGATCTCGCCTAATGTCACCGAACAATCCTCCGCAGCACAATCTGTGAAAACTATAAATACTATTTAGAATTAGATTTTGGAGAAGATTAGAGAGGAGTGGATCATATTATTATTATTTTTCACTTTAGAACATATTCTAGCTAATATTTT